GCCAATGGCAGAGGCCACACTGTGTGCCTGCCTTTCTTTTCCCTTTTGTCAGTTTGTCATGTCTAACACTGAACTCTCCTGCCATTCCTGCCCCCACTGCTCGCTCTCACGGGGTTCTCCAGCACTGACTTGTACGCACGGTGCGCTGAAACGTGTTCACAGCTGTGAGCTATCACGGAGCATGAGCCGCTCGTTAGATTCCGACCACCTGGGAAGGAAAAACACTGGCCAAGTACAAACAGGCCTTTATTAAGCAAAGAGAAGTCCTGGGCCTTTTCTGGAGCAGCGAAAGAACCAGCAGGAGAAGAGGGGACCACAGGTGGGAAAGACAAGCTGGGTTACAGAGACAAAGGTTTTACACCCCTTCTGACGTGGGTGCTGGCCTTGGCTCTGTTTGGGCCCTGATAGGGCAAGGAATGTTGGTCTTTGTCCATCATTGGCCCATACGTGGCCTTGGCCGCCTTCGGGATGTGCCAGATCTCTGGCTGAGGTCACTGTCTTGTCCACCCACTTCCTGTAACCGCTGTAACCATCACCGCTCTGTTGGAGTTGGGCTGTCTTGCGCCTGCGTACAGTCTTTCACACATCCACCCACGATCCGTCCACGTAAAACACAGCCCTGGGAACCGCTCACAGAGCCTTCCGTTGTGGAGTCCGCTGCTCTTCTTGCTGCTGCCTTCCAGCCTCATGTGCTCTGCCTGCTGAGGCTTCTTCCCATCACTGGCTAGCACCTGCCCCTTCTCCACCTGGCGCGGACTCCCTGTGAACTCAATGTAGACCCACTCACTGGCGTGTTCACGGGCGGACAGCAGTTGTGGTGACGTTGCCCTCTCTCCCTGAAGCCCACGTGGATTTTGCACTCCTTTGCTTTCAGGTTGCTGGTGTGTTGTGGAAGACAAGCAGGCCCCTGAACAAAGTGTTTCTGTGGAAGTGTCACAGGTCAGGACCTTCCCCTGAAAGCCCAGTCCCATGGGATGTATGCCTTTGGACTTGAAAGTTCTTTGCTGGGCACAACAAAACATATTCCATGCCAAAACCATGCATTCTGGGGACACGTTGGAAAGATTTTTTCACTATAAACCTTCGCCAACTGTGTAACAGTACAGACAATGTGTAACTGCACAAAAGGGGTGGGGTTAAGGGTGTGTTTACAAAAAGCTGCACGAGTTCCTCCAGATGAGACCACATGTGGGAGCTCTTGACTGAGCCAGGCAGGGAATGCGCAGGCTGCTTTCATTGCAGATGAATGTGGAGGAAAGCTTTCATTGCAGCCTGTGTGGGATGGCACAGGCCACAGCAGGGAAGAGACGCAAGCTGTCAGGAGCAGCCCTGCAGCAGCACCTAGAGCCCTGCCTGATCTGTGTCATTTGAGTCTCCACTGCAGAAGCCAGACCCCGCTGGCTCACCTGGCGGGTCCCCACAGTAGTCCACTTCAAGCTGCCAATGTGACATTCCCAAAAGTGGAAATGAGAAGAGGTATGCAAAGCGCTTCGTTATATTGTTTCTGTTAAACTGATGAAATAGTCACAAATACACCCAAGAACAAAGATGAGAATAGAATAATTAAGAAATTACAAGTTCTGAGTTTTATTACTGTCAGTTTCCCAACAGCCTGATTAAGATTCAATGGACTTAAAATGAACATATTTGAAGTGTACAATTTGCTATTTTGATACATGGTCATACTTCTGAAATTAAAAATAGTTCCTCCTGCTCTTTTTGCATTCTAATTAGCATGAAGTTATCATGGCAAGAGTATGTTCTGCCTTTTGCAGGAGGTGTTTTCAAACATCTGTGGAACTAGCAAAGCTCCGGCATTCCCCAGCACACTCATGGGGCCACTTTGCAAGACACTTTGACAATTTCTGTACAAGTCAAACTTAGTCACACCAATCTGAGCCAGCTGCATGTTCAGCTTACAAACAGGTTATATCCTAATGAGGAGATGGTACTTGATGACTCAGTGTCTTAGAACTCATGACTGTGGCTCTCATGACCAAGCAGTGGAGTCGAGGAGTGGCTGCTCTGAAGGCCAGAGGGAAGCCTGGAGGGAGGTGAAATCCCTGAGAACTAGAGACAGGCAGGAACTTGTCAACCGCTGTCCCACACGGGAGGTCGGGTCAACTCCACTCTCTGCTTCTGCCTACTCTCCAACAGCAGCTGTGTGGCCTGTAAGAACAAATCCTTCAGACAGTAAGCCTGTGTGTAGTCTATGAAATCTTCCTGCAGGATTTGTTTTTAAGAATGGAATTTTGGGGCTCAGCACAGTAACCTAGTGGTTAAAGTCCTCACATTGCATGTACCAGGATCCCACATGTGGACATTGGTTCTAATCCCAGTAGCCCTGCTCCAGCTCCCTGTTTGTGGTCTGGGAAAGCAGTCGAGGACGACCCAAAGCCTTGGGACCCTGCACCTGCCTAGGAAACCTGGAAGAGTCTCCTGGCTCTGAGCTTTGGATCGGCATGGCTCTGGCCATTGCAGCCACTTGGGGAGTGAATCAACAGATGAAAGATTTTCCTCTCTCTCTCTTCCTCTTTGTATATTTGACTTCCCAATAAATATACTTTTTAAAAATGGAATTTTCAAAAGAAACCAAGTGGTACCAAGGTGTGCTTTCCTGTGAACATTGCAATGAGCACCTGTGAAGCTACTTGCTGGGGTAGAATGATAGATGGTATTGTATGTTTTAACAAATAGCCCAAGTTCCAGGAGTGAGAGACCTGGGTTTGGAAAAATTCCAAACCCACCCATTGGTATTGACAATTGCTACTATAAAAAGCCTCCATGACTGAGCTTTCAGTTAAGGCAACAAATGTGCTATAGGAAAGCATGTCTTGTCCAATGTCAACAACCCCATCAACCTATTCCACAATAGAACATCAGTTAGAATGACTACTGTTTAAGAATAAGTCTCAAATGTCATAAAGAGCAAATTGGGGCTGGTGCAATGGCTAGTGGCTAAATCCTCACCTTTCTGGGATCCCATATGGGCACCAGTTCACGTCCCTGCTGCTCCACTTCCCATCCAGCTCCCTGGCCTGGGAAAGCAGTTGAAAGCGGCCCAAAGCCTTGGGACCCTGCACCCATGTGGGAGACCCAGAAGAGCTCCTGGCTCCAGCTATTGTGGCCACTGGGCAATGAACCAACAACTTTCCTCTCTATAAATCTCCCTCCTCAATAAAAATAAATAAATCTTTAAAAAAGAGCAAAGGCAGAAATATAAAGCTGTTATATCACCCTTTAATGGCAAAAAGATTGTATCTTTTCAGAATCTATTACTTTTCCAGTTTAAAAAAAAAATAGAAAACACAGGGCAAGGGAGACTACCCACTTTTTTTTTTTTTTAATCTAGAGAAGCCATACTTACAATCCATAATCTGTCTTTCAACCAAGGCTGGAGAATTGACTGATATGGTTATCATTAACACCGCCAGCAGGAACACAAAATCCAGGTGCAGCCAGTAGCACCCGGCTTGTGTGCATCACCTAAACACCAGCACATAACACATATCCAGGCATGGAGCCACACACACACACACACACACACACACACACACACACGGAGACACACAGCCTGAGCTCAGGAGCCAAGTCGTTTTTAAGGCATACGATCGGCATGAAACCTCAAGTTGTTAAGTTAGCTGAACCAGGAGGGTAGAAAGAACCCAATTACAGTATTCAGGAGGTGGGCATGGTGGGAGACGCCTAGGTCACTGGCGATGTGCCCTCAGGTGGCAGGGCTCCTAAGAGGGTAGTTGTAAAAGCAGAATGGACCCCAAACACTCCCAGATTCCTCAACGCTTCCTCCACATGCTGCACCACTGCCACCTGCTCTCCTCGCCAGTGACCTACCCAATGGGGGGAAAAAAACAAGCTTTTCGCTAGTTTGCTGTCTCAGGCACATTGTTCTAGCAACAAAAATATGGTGCTTATCACAAGCTTAGTACTCATCCCACAAGATTCAGGATTGAACACCGCATCCACAGGCAATAACGCTCTCATGGTATATTGGTATATATATGGTATAATCATTTCAAATCGCTTGCTGCCTCCTTCAGAAAAACTACACTTGTCTTATTATCATCATGGTTATCAATACGTGTTCTCTGGACAGAGAGTATTAGTGTTTCCTGAGAGCTGATGGACAAAACACATTTGAGGCTTCAACTCAAACCAAGTGAAACAAACTCCACAGGTGCGAGGGTCAGCAGTCACCATCTGGCAAGTCCTTCCCGAGATGCTGACGCCTCACTGAAGCCGAGAAAACACATTGTCCTCTGGCCTGTGCAAACCTCTTAGAACATACGAACTGAGTCCACTGTTGACGGACACTGAGTTTTCTTCACCAAAATGGTATAATTTGAAAACAAAATCATTTTGAGTCAATTCCTCTAAATGTGCTGGTCTGCTGCTCTAAAGACTGTTTTAAGGCAAAAATTAATTCTCCAAGAAGTAGTAACCTGTTTTTCAAAAGTCACAAACAGCTCATTGTATATAAAATAGTCTCACTAGAGACCAAAAATTAACACCATTTTTGCTTCTTCTATAGCTTTAATTTTCAACATTGTAATATTTACTGGAACTGTGGGATGGCTAAATATTTTCATATAACCATTAAAAACTAACCTCTATATAGGACATGAGTCAAATTTAAGTAACTGCTATATTGAATGCATATTTATAATAAACCTGATTGCTCCCCTCGAGGATTACAATGTTGCTGTAAAACAAGGCTGAGACATAATTCCTACTTCCCTCAGGTTGTTTTCCGTTCATCTTCTCATGTCTAGCCAGGTAACTCTTACAGCTGTATACTTTGCTACATGTCTCACATTCATTTTTTCCATGTATGAGTTCTTTAACGTAGAATGAGGAAAGCACTTAAAATGAAGGATTTCCAATGTCCATTTTTCTATATGCATACAGCCTCTTTCCTGTAGTGGGCGCATATCGCCTGGACTTTCTCACACTGCTATATGGATATGGGATTTTTTGAGTGTGTGTCATTTACACACACCCATTAAGGTATTAATGCTCAGTAGGAGTTTCCCTCATGTACTGCCTTTGGAGTCCCTCTACAAATGAATTATAAGTGGTGACACAGTTTCCATCATTGCTGAGGGTCTTCCCACATTCACTACATTCATAACACCTTTCTCCGGTAAAAATATAATGCTGAATTAGGATCTACAGCTGAAATTTACTATGAAAAATACTGCTCTATATACTTTCATTTCTATATGATCCGTCACACGAATAGTGATTCAGATGGTCTGATGATTTTTCCATATTTACTGCACTGTTGCGTTTATCTCCATTATGTATTCTCTGATGGGCGGTGAGATTCGAGCGTTTGCTAAAAGCTCTTCCACATTCATTACACCTGTATGGCTTTTCGCCAGTATGAATTCTCTGATGTACAGTAAGGTTGGAACTACAGCTAAAGGTCTTCCCACATTTAAGACATTCATAAGGCTTCTCTCCGGTGTGAATTCTGTGATGTTGAAGAAGGGATGACCTGTGACTGAAGGCTTTCCCACAAATACTACACTCGTAAGGTTTCAATCTGATGTGATTTCTCAAATGCATATCTAGTGATTCGGGCTGGTTGAAGGACTTCCTGCATTTCTGACATTCAAAGGGTCTTTCTTCGGTGTGAATACTCTGGTGCTGAGTAAGAGACAGCAGGCTGCTGAAGGTCTTCAGACACTTGTTGCATTCATAACGCTTCTCGCTCCTGTGGCTTCTTTGATGTCGAGTGAGGTGGGAGCTGCAGCAGAAAGCTTTCCCGCATTCACGGCATCCGTAAGGTTTCTCTCCGGTATGGATCTTTTTATGATGAATGAGAGACGATCTGTGAATGAAAGCCTTCCCACACATGCGACACTGATAGAGTTTTTCTTGAGTATGAATTCTCAGATGTTCAATGAGATGGGAGACGCGACTGAAAGACTTGCCACAGTTGGTACACTCATACGGCTTCTCTCCGGTGTGAGTGCTTTGATGGTTACTGAGTGATGAGACGTGGCTGAAGGCCTTCCCGCATTCAGCACATTTGAAAGGTTTCTCTCCACTGTGGCTTATCTGATGTCGAGTGAGGGATGAGCCGTGGCCAAAGGCCTTCCCGCATTCGCGACACTCATAGGGCTTCTCTCCCGTGTGAACCCTCCAGTGGCGATTAAGGATGGACTGTTTACCGAAGGTTTTCCCACACTCTCCACACGCGTACATTTTCTCTCTGTTACATAAAGTCTGCTGAGGGCTTAGAGGTTTGCTCTGGTTGTGGGCCACTGCACTTTCATTACAATTCAGAAGTTTCTTTTGGCCACTCATTGTCTCATGTTTTATGACTGACATCTTTGGTAAGCTTGTCTTCAGTGTATCATAGATAGGCAATTTTTCTTGCGGAGAAATTCTGTGTGGTTCAGAAAGAGCAGACTTCATATGGAAGGTGCTTCTGTCTGTATCGTATCTGTAGAACTTGTCCCCCATAGGGCTGTCTCTGCGGGTTCTGTATTGTTCTTGACCTTCACGCTTCCCCTCCAACCCCTCCAGGTGTCCCCGGTCCTTGTTAACATTTGGAAAGTCACAGTTTTGCTTGACAGTTTTTTCTATGTCTGCTTGGGGTGGATCTTGATCATAAACATCCTTCTCTGTTGACAAGTCCTTGCTTTCCCATTTTGGCTCCCAATCTGAAACACACGGAAGATAAAGTGATGCTCTTTTTCTACTTCTTGGAAAGAAATCTTTTTTCTTTTTTTTAAGATTTGTTTTATTTTTATTGGAAAGGCAGATATACAGAGAGGAGAGACAGAGAGGAAGATCTTCCGTCCGACATTCACTCCCAAAGTGACCACAACGGCCGATGCTATGCCGATCCGAAGCCAGGAGCCTCTTCCGGGTCTCCCACGCGGGTGCAGGTTCCCAAAGCCTTGGGCCGTCCTCCACGGCTTTCCCAGGCCACAGGCAGGGAGCTGGATGGGAAGCAGGGCCGCCTGGATTAGAACCGGCGTCCATATGGGATCCCGGGCATGCAAGGCGAGGACCTTAACTACTGCGCCATCGCGCCGGGCCCGGAAAGAAATCTTTATGGCAAAAAAAAAAAACCAGGAGGATTCAGAGAAAGAAAACCCCTAGGAGAGGTCTGACTCTGGCAAGTCCCCCATTTCAGTGATTTCTGAATGGTGCTCACATGCAGCAGAGAATACAGAAATACAGAAAGAAAACATGGAAGGCGTTCTGGATCCCAGGTCACCATTTTGTTACTTTACTTACCTGGAAGGCAACGCTTTGTCTCATAGCCTTCTTCCCCCACCATCAATTCCTCTCAATTTGCTGCCAGATTATTATGATCAAAATGTACAACTTACACTACTACATTAAACAAATGATGACAAAATAACCTAAGTTAACGGCTCACAAAGATTTAGGCTTTCTGAATTTATTCAGTATCTGTGTGAAAATGATTTTCTGTACATTAAATAATATTATTCCTAGAAACATGTAAGCCTACCATACCAGTTCTTTTTTTTTTAATGTTATTTATTTTCATCTACTTCAAAGGCAAAACAACAGAGATATCTTCTGTCTGCTGGTTCACTCCCCAGATGTGTTCAACAGCCTCGCCAGGAGCAAACAAGGCCAAAGTCAGGAGTACAGACTCCAGGGGATCTCCCATGTGGGTAGCGGGGCCTACGCACCTGCTCTGACATCCCCCGCCTGCCTCGACACACTAGCAGGAAGCTGGATGGGGGGCAGAGTTTCCGGGATTCGAACTGCTGCTCAGTCGTGGGATGTCGGTGTCACAAGCAGTAGCCTAACGTGCTATACTGTAACACCCACCCCTCTAACACTCATTTTCCTATCTGGTCCATGAAACTCAGCTCTAAAGGAAAAGCTATTTTCTATTTGACACATGTCCCAGCCTAAAACCATCAGTGTATTTTTCCTTCAGTAGACCCAAGAAAAAATTTTTGTTTCAAATAAGAGAAAATTATGACAACAGCAAAAATCTCATTTTGAGTAGATGACATGTGCAATACAGGTAATAATTTGGAATAGCGAATGATCATTTTGAAAACTAAGCTCAAGATGTCTCCATTTTGTTTATGTCAGGGATCTCTAAAGATAAATTCCCTACAATGTATCTATTGCAACTACCGGCCCTTTAGCAATAAAGACTTCCTTTGCCTACTTCACATGACCAACCTGGAAACATACCTTTTGACAGTTTTTTCTGCACCATCCAAGGCTCTTTTCCATCTTCCAACAAAGTGATCACACATGGCTTAGCTGCAGAAAGACCTGCTCATACAAGATAGAACCTGTTTTAGCTGCAATCCTCAAGGACGGCAGGCCATCACAAGAGGGACCGAAGGAAGAGACAAAGACAGGAAGACGAACTCTAAGCAGGACACAAACGGGTTAAACATCTCCTTGGGCACATGGTACAGAAATTCAGCCATTTAACTTGGGAAGAGCTCCAGTAATTCAGAGTGGCAAAGATCTCCCTGAGCGAATTGAAAGGGAAGATATCCTTACCTAGGGAAACTAGGTTCTCATAATTCTGGACCATCACCTCCTTGTATAAGTCTCTCTGCGCAGCGTTTAGCCGTGCCCACTCTTCATGAGAGAAGTCTACAGCCACATCACTAAATGTCACCTGCAACAGCAAAGACACAGGCTCAGTCACAGCCCGAGCCTCTCTCGTCACTGATCCTGAGGAGCCTTAGAGGGGAAAGGGGCTGAGATTTCAGGAGTCATGGCAATGATCAAGACTGATCCCAGGTGTCTGATAACTGGATAATCAATTTCCTGTAATGCAATAAGGGCACTGCTATACAATAACAAAGGGTGTTTTTATACAATGACAGCATTGCTTCAGGAGAATTAATTTTATGGGGAAAAAAAAAACAGAATTAGGGCCCAGAGCAAGGAGTCAATTGCCTAATCCTCTCTCTGCAAATGCAGAGAGCCCACAAGGGCACCAGTGGGCACAAACTGCTCCACTTCCCATCCAGCTCCCTACTTGTGCCCTGGGAAAGCAGTGAAGGATGGCCCAAGGCCTTGGGACCCTGCACCCACGTGGGAGACTTGGAGGAGGCTCCTGGCTTCAGATTAGCTCCACTAAGACCCTTGCAGCCATCTGAGGACTGAACCAGGAGATGGAAGATCCTTTTTTCTTTCTATCTCTCCTTCTCTCTACAGGTCTGCCTTTCCAATAAAAATAAATATTTTTTAAACAGATTAAGAAAAAGCAGAATTACACAAATTTTTTACAAGTCAGAATGCAACATCTGACAGCATTCCAGAGTTCTGTTACGTCTTTTACAGGTTAAGTGGCCAACAGATTGGCTCTCAGATGCGATTCTCAATGTGACCCTCTAGGTTGAAAAACAACAGAATGATCCAATGGTTTGGGAAAACAAGAAATCTTTACATTAATGACAGTTAGACATACCTGCCACACTTCAGTGCCTTCCAAAACAAACATGGTCTGGAGACTCAGTAACCACCAAATTAGGAGTTGGAACCCTAAGAGCTCTCTCATGAACGGGAAAATACCATTATCACAGGATTAGGGTCATTGTAAAAGGACAGGACAACGCTTCTCTCTCCCCACCCCAAGCTCCAACTCACACCTCATTTCCTATCTCGCATGGAATGGTACAGCTAGAAGGCCCTGGCCTTGTGCCAGCCCCTTTAAACCCACTTCCCAAGCAATAGAAAAACAAATAAACTGCTTATAAATTAGTCCATAATATTATTATAGTAGCACATATTTAAACATACACATAACTAATTTATGCACCAAATCAGTGTCTATTTATGGTGTACACGTAAACCTTGTATTGGTAGTCAGTCATTCAACAATTAAACTGCAGATCCTAGCCCAGAAGACTGAAGAATGCTGCCATGCCATTGGTGCTCCCTGAGCACCTTAAAGGGAAAGAATAAGAGACATATATATAAAACAGCAGAATATCTGAAGGAAATCCTC